TGATAAAAATCAGCCAGACAGAGGAGGTGGGAGGAAGGGAGGGAGGGTCACGGAAGAAGGGGAGGCTGAGGTTATGAATCCAGTTGGGTTGAGGGAGGGGGGGCTGTATTATCTGAACCTGTTCCCTGTGTTAGACCCAAGAATTGCTACACAGAAGAGAGGGTGTGGTGTCCCTCCACCACCTAAGGAATATGAAGTTCAGCTCCTGCTGGAGGCGGGGCCATTTCTGGGCTGAGCTGTGTGTTGAAGAGAATCGCATGTCTTTGGAACTGGGTTTTAGGTTGTGTGTGTGTGTGTTTTGGGGGGTGTGGAGAACACAGGGCTCCAGTTCTGTGGGTGCTGCAGTTTTGTCAGCAGCAGCGGGAGCCCTGCATGAGCCCTGGTGCTCTGAGTGGCTGAGGCCATGTATTCTCCAAATGCTCCCGTTCGACTTCGCCAGGCTGGCTCCTGCCTGAACCCTGCCCGCTGGATAACTGTTGGGAACTTATCCCAAGTTCCTCCTCTCTCCTCTGCTCACAGTAACAGGTGTTGGGTCCGGCCTTCTGCCTGGGGCTGGACTTCCTTGGACCCTGGGTCTTAGACAGAGAAGCCATGAGCGGTTGTGGGTGTACAAGGATGAGTCTTTATTGCTGAAGCCAGTGGCCACACAGCCATTAGACAAGACAGTCCTCACAGCGAAGTCCACACAGGCAGGCAGCCGGACACCGGCCGGGGAACATGCATCTTTCCCATCAAGCAGCATCAGTCTCTGTACCCACAGCTGTTCTCTGAGCAGCCGCACGCTGCCCCCTAGACTCACCGCCTCACATCATAGTGGTACCTGAGCTCTCCGCTCAGCAGCGTCTCCTTTCTCTCCTGCCCAGCTGCTCTCTCCCAGCCGGACACCGGCTGGTGAACATGCATCTCTCCCATCAAGCAGCATCAGTCTCTGTACCCACAGCTGTGCCCTGAGCAGCCGCACGCTGCCCCCTAGACTCACCGCCTCACATCATAGTGGTACCTGAGCTCTCCGCTCAGCAGCGTCTCCTGTCTCCCGGCCCAGCACACTGGCTGGTTACCGTGGCAGCTCTAGCTGAGCTCTCTGTGAGCTCCTAGCCTCACATCGTACAGTCCCAGCTCTCAGCTCCGTCCTCCAGCTCAGTCTCCTTCATCCTCCCCTCAGACTAGCTGGTCAGGAGCCAGTATATTGCTCCTTAGACCAAGAAGGCATCGTGCCAACAGTTTCACAATCATATCGTGGCCACAGAAGGGCACGTCTGTGCAGTGCAAGGCTTGCGGCGACCTTGCACCTGCATAAAAGTATCTTGGCCTTGAGCACCCCGATCTGACCCACGCTCAGAGCGGCCTTGAACATCCAGCCAGTGTACTCTTAGGCCCACACTATGCTGTTTCCATGCAGTGAACACCCAGGGACATCGTGCAGCCAGAAAAGGACACAGTCTGTGTGCTCCCACTTCCCACTCCCACGCGGCTCCCGGAGCAGTCAGTTCATGGGCAGACAGCAGATGGTGCTTGAAGCAAGTTCTGGAAATGGGTGGTTGTACAATAGTGAGACTGTACTTAATGCCACTGAACTGTACACGAGAAGATAATTAAGTTGGTAAAATTTTATGTTATATATATTTTACCACAATAAAGAAACACAACCCTCTGATAGCTGTGGAAGCTGAATCTGGGACAGGGACCGGAATGGAGGCAGGGAGACCAGGAGGCTGAGGCCGAGCCAGAGTGGCGGCTATGGGGGCGAGGAGACGGTTCCCAGATGGATTCTGAGGTTGAGCTAAAGGACTTGCTGCAGGATTGGATGTGGGGTCTGAGAGCAAGTGCGTCAGGGTGTTTGGCGGGGTGGTGGGGGTGGGGGAATCCCTAGACCTTCTCTGGCAGCCGCCCCTCTAACTGCTCGGCCCACAGGGCACAGTCTGGGCTCGGGCCTTAGGAACCCACAGCCCTGCTTCCCGATTCTCTCAGGAGACACCCTTGGACCCGCCCCCAGGCGGGAGG